AGAGAGGTCAGTGGGGCTTGCAGGGCTGTGGAAAGTTTGGGCTTGGTTTGCAGGACAAACAGGATGTCTGTTCTGCAGGATAAAGGTGACTGATGTCCATTTGGAGGGAGACAGCAGGTGCAGTCTATTGCTCCCCCTACTCCATTTTTGTTTTTGTTTTCAAGCTGGATGATCTTTTTTTCCACAAAAGCAATCTGGGAGGGCAGGGGATTTAGCTCAACATGTCTGGCAAGGGGAGCTCCTGAGTTCTATCCCTGGCACCCCCCGTCCCCCCAAAAAGCATTCTGTGAAACTTTTTAAATCTGCCCATCTTAAGGTCAGATTTAAGTCCTTTAGGTTATCAACGAAGCTCGTTTATATACTAAGAGGCTCAAGTGTGACGGGCCTGGTTGGAAAGCAGCAAGGCTGGGTCAGCGTGGGCGTCCAAGGCACTTGAGGCAGCCAAGGCAGAAGGGGAAGAAATTGTGTGCCGGACATAGGTGCTGAGGTGTGGAAATGAACCCAACCATCAAGGGGTAAAATGCATCTTAATGGTGACACAGATGCTAAAATTCTCTTTTAATTTTAAATTGGTGTTGTTGGGGATTGAACCCAGGGCCTTCACATTTAGCTACACTCTTCCTTTTTTTTTTTTTTGTCTTTTTCATTTTTATCGGTACCAGGGATCGAACTCACGACTGCCTGCTTGCAAGGCTGGCGCTTATGCCACTGAGCTAAATCCCCAGCCCCTACACTCTTTTAATTATGGCTTTTGAGACATGGTCTCAATAGGTCACCAAGTGTGCTGGCTGGCTATAACTAGTGATCCTCCTGACTCAGCCTCCTCTAGTGCTAGTGATATAGGACCTCCAAATGATACAAGAGAAATACTGTAACCTGCTACCAAGCTTATGTTCCCTAAAATTAAATGAATTCTAAGGAAGAGAGGTTAAGTGTAGGAAAATTTTATAAGGACAGTTCCTAAGAGAAAAGAATGGACCTGGTGAGTGGGCACATGTATAGTATCCTAGGCTGGGTTTCAACTTGTGATTCTCCTGCCTCAGCCTCCTGATGTTGGGATTACAAGTGTGCACCACCACATCTGGCTTTAATCTTGCTTTTTCATTGCTCTTTGTAGTCATATTCTTTGTTCTTTCTTTCCTTTTATTTTTTGAGATGAGATCTCAATATGTTGCCCAGGTTAGTCTTAAGCTCCTGAGTTGAAGAGATCCTCTTGTCTCAGTCTCCCAAGTGCTAGTGGTTCATTTGCCTGGCTCTTCTACTGATTTTTTTTTTTTTGTACTGGGGGTCAAACTTATGACCTTAACGCCTTCCAGGCAGGAGCTTGTGCCACTGAACTATATCCCCAACTGTCTATAGATTTTTGTTTTGTTCTCAGTACTGTTCAATTCATAGCCTACACACTGAACTACATCCCCAGCTCTTTTGCAAAATAAAAGATAGCAGCCTCCCTAACCTGCTTAGACTGGGCTTAAATTTGAGATCCTCCTGCCTCAGACACCCAAATGCTGGTATTACAGGCCTGCACTAGCATGCCCAACTGTGCCAAGTTATTCTTGCTTTTCATGTCCTCCTGTGTCCTCCTGTTTGGCTCTCTTGGCTGGATAGCATCACAAGGCTTCAGAAGAGGCTTCTGTCAGTGCCCTAGCAGTAGCAGAAGCGGGCAGAAGGGGTCCAGTGCTGTTAGCAGAGCCAGGAAAGGGGAGAAGACAGGCACTCATCCACAGTGGCTGCTCCATTCCTGGGCCCCATGCTGGGGAGCACCTGGCTAACTGAAAAGGCAGGCAGAGAGGAAGGGGCCAAATGATCACAGCCTGAATCCCAGACGAAGAGAAGGGTTTCGGATTATGTGCAGGCTGCTAAGAAGAACCTGAGCCTAAGAAGACCAATGGTCACATGCATCACTCTCCTGGGTCTGAAAAAGTGTTAAAAACTAAACCTTGGCACAGTGGTACCCACCTGGAATGCGAGCAGAGGCTGAGGCAGGAGGGTTGAGAGTTCAAGGCCAATCTGTGCTACAGTGCAAGACCCTGTCTCAAAAAACAAAAACCAAACAACCAAACAGTAATGACCAAGAAAACACCAAAACCCAAACCAGGAATGGTGGCACATACCTGTAATCCCAGTGCTCATGAGGCTGAAGCACAAACATTACCTTGAGTTTGAGGCCAGCCTGGACTATAAAGTAAGATCCTGTGCCAAAACTTAAAGGAATAAACAAACAAGCAACATGAAAAAAATAAACAGATAAACAAAAAACACGATTAGCCAGTATCTTGGATGACCACAGATGCAAAAATTCTCAAGGAAATACTGGCAAATCAAATCCAACAGTACATAAAAAAGATCATTTACCATGATAAAGTTGGATTTATCTAAAGGACAGTTCAGCAGACTCAAATCGATAAATATCATACATCAAATTAACACAAGGGAGGGTAAAAACTATAGTCATATCAATAGATACATAGAAAGCTAAAACTCAAATGTGCATTCAAAACAAACTCTGAACAACTCAAGCAATAGAGTGAACCTCGGCACACCACGGCTGCTCACAACAAACTCACCGCCAACACAAGCATGCTACAGACTTCCAAGTTTTAGTCAGGACAGTTAGGGGAGACAAAGGAAAGGCAGACAAATCAGAGTTGGATCACCCCTGTGCTCAGTGTGGAAAACCTACAGATGCCATCAAAATGAAGCAGCTCAGTAATATGTCCGGCATCCAAAATAAGCTCACAAACCAATGCCACTTCCATACGCCCAGAATGAGCTTGCGGAGAAATAAATCATGAAGAGGATCCGCCTCACAACAGCTACTCAAAATACCTAGGAATACATTTATTCAAGGAAATAAGACTTCCACAATAAAAGTTCAAACTCACTGACAAACCCTGGGTTCAACCCTGTCCTATGAAAACATGAAAAGGCCCCAAGAAGTTAAAAACACAATAAAGATTGCTTTATTGTGGATTGCTAGGATATTAATGGAGTCTTTTGTTTGGCTGGTTTTGTTTTTCAGACCAACTCTCTCTGTGTAGCTTAGGCTGGCCTCCAACTTGAGGTAACTCTCCTACCTCAGCCTCCCCAGTGTTGGGATCACAGGGCTGTGTCACCACACCCAGTCACTTGGGAATTCCGTTTGTGGTTTTTCGGGTGAGGCCTGTGAAGTATACCTGACTCCCAAGCTCCTGTGTGCTGACTATCACAGTGTACTATACCGTATAAGATTTGGGTGTTAAGAGTCAGGGATATATCTTAGTGGGACAGTGGTTGCCTGGCAAACACAAGGTTGTGAGTTCGATCCTCAGTACCAAAAAAAAGAAAAAGATATGAGTGTTGCTTTGCCTTGTCTAGTTGCTCCTCCGAAGCCTCATGTGGTCGTAGGTGTGGCTGAATCTAGAGTGTGTAACACTGAGGCTGAATTGACTTATGGTGCAATTCCAGGATCAAGGACACTAGGATGACGGATGTGCTGCTTTCCCTACTGGTCTCCATAAAATAAAAAGGTAGAAAGAGCTGCGGCTATCCTTCCCTAGCGTTACTACCCTGCCTGCCATGTTTCTCCTCTGTGATGCCCATCAGCCATGCCACCTTGCCTTGGAGCCAGCTGATTATAGACTGAAATCTCTACAAACTGTGAGCTAAATAAACCTTTCCAACTTTAACTTTGGGTATTTTCTCTCGGCAATGAGAGAAAAGTCATTTAAACTATGTGTAGTGGTACACGCCTGTAATCCCAGTGCTTGGGAGGCTGAGGCTGAGGCAGAAGGATCACTCACTGCAAGGCTAAGACCAGCCACTGTCTCCAAAAAACCCAACCCAACCCAATTTATTACCCACAGGGTTCCTCAACAGCAGATACCAGAATGTATCTGTGTCCCTTGAAAGAAACCTGTGACAGGTCACCAAACTCCGTCTTATTCTAGCAACACTCCATTTCACCAGTAGCACAGAATACAAAGAAAAGCACTCATCATAAAGACAGCCAAGTAGATGGGCATGGTACACACACTTGTAATCCCAGCACTCAGAAGGCTACAGGAGGATCACTGTGAGTTAATTTGAGGTCTGTCTGAATTACAGAGCAGGACCCCAACTCAAAACAAATAGGATTCCTCATATTATTAACAATAACATTCACAGTTTCATGAAAGAATAGAGCTGGTATGCAGACAGGACAAAAATTGCAGTTCAATGCGAGGGCTCTGGGGCTTAATCAAGATGTGAGGGCTTTTTATTTTGGTTTTCTGAAACAGGATCTTGCTAAGCAATGTTGACCAGCATAGCTGTGCCTCCTGTTTCAATATTCAAACCATATTGTGCTCAATCACCAGAAGGGCACAGGGGTTAACGTGCAAACAATGCCCTGGACACAAAGAATCATGGAGAAAAGAGGCAGCGCCAAGACCAAGATCAGGGTAGAGAAAGCTACCTGGATGATGGTGAGGCTGGACACAGACACAGGGTAGAACAAGACCACACCTTCCTGTCCAGCATGGCTGTCTGGTCACTCTCTGACCCCACAGTGAGCTGCTCTACCACCTCTGCCAATGGGGGCATCACATGGTGGCTCCAGGCCTTGCCCTCTGACTGACCCCTCTGGAGTCACTGTCCACATGCTGGCTGTCTCTGATCAGAACATTCTTCTGTCATGGCAGCAACCTTCCAGCCTTTTCCCAAATTGCACCCATTTCTACAGGCAACAGGCTGGAGGACGCCCCATGGTGCTGCCCACACAGATGGCGTATTGATCACCATGCAGCTGTGCCATCTGGGGCCACTGCTGTCCCATTTGCTTCCAGCAGTGGCCTGGTGGTCTTTTTTAGTTTTGAAGAAAGATCTTGCCATATCCATGTGTTCAGGCTAACCCTTAACTTGTAAGTCCTCTTGGTTCAGCTTCCCAGCTACTTCACAATTACAGATGTGGACAGTGCCCCATGGTGAATGTAGTTTTTAAATGAAAAGAAAGAGTGAGCCACTGGCAATGTCAAGCCAAGTTTTTTTTTAAAAAATAAATGTTTATTTTAAGTATGAAAGGTAATGCTAATTATCAAAAAAATTGTGTTCAGTTTAACAAGTATAAACCAAGACCCCTGGAAAAAGCTTACAATTAGGTACAAAATACTTAAGAATGTATTTTGATCTTCACAGTGGGTACATCTGAAAAAGTAAGTTTTACCAACATTGTTCAGAAAGAAAAGTGTATTTACAAACTCAGTTAAATAAACAAGTGATCCAATGTGGCACAGGACTCCAGAAACTTCCGATGGGCAGCTGGCATTTTCAAATGTGATGTGCATAAGCGTCGAGAAAATAACAATAAATGTGCTTTACAATACAGGAGATCAAACTTCCCTGACACACACCACCGTATCTCACAGGTGCCAACCCACAGGGCTGTCAAGTAATTGATACAAAGCACAAATACTAACACTTCATGGTAACCAAAGTCCTGGGCGCTCACCACTGCAGCCATCCCAAGCAAAGCCTGGAGAGACTAGGGAGGAAATGACAAGAAGCCATAGGGCCACGAGGCAGTGTGTGTGGTCACTGGATGGGGCTGCTGCCCAGGTCCCCACCCCGCTTCTGCAGGTACATCTGCTTGTAGGTCTGGAACATGGTCCGGGACTCCTTCGTCAGGTTCTGCTGTGCTTCTCGTCCATCCGTACTGGCACTTCGCTGGAGAAGTCTTGAGTGGACACCTAAGGAAACAGCAGTGTGGCCTAATTTGAGAAATATAGCCAAAATCAGGAGGGAAAACACCTACTCGTCTGTGAGCCAAGTCTTAAAAGTCTGCTCAAAAAGAAGAAAAAAAAACAAAAAAACAAAAAAAAAAAAAACAAAAAACCACCAAGACTCTGCAAAGCTGGCAGGCTCAGTGCTTCTGTCTTACCTCCACAGCTGCCCATCATTCTGCATGCTGCACAAAAGGGAACCTCGGGGGGACTATCTAGAGGAGCAATTCACTCACTCTGGGAGGCTGAGACAGGAGAATTGGAAGTTTGAGCTCCACCTGGACAACTCAGAATCTGTCTCAGGTAAAGAGACACAGAATAGACCAATAGGTGAGTCTGACAGGAGCAGAGGCAGGAAGGGACCAACTACACAGCAAGTGGCTGCTCACCAGGCCCAAGTATTCCATCCCACTCTCCTGACCATTCACTACTTGTCCTATGTGACTGTCCCACTCAGCCAATGTTACGTGGCCTGGAGAGCCTCAGCCTCTCAACACCATTTCCTTGTGCTTTTGGCTAACGTGTATGTGCATGTTTCAGAGTACACTTGACTCAGTTACACGAAGCTGTATTTATGTATGTACCCACATATCCAGGTATATACATCATTTCTAACTTTATTGTTTTTATATACCACCAAGGGCTTACCTCCAGCTTCCCTGGCAAAATCCCCAGAACCAAGTACATTCAGCCATAAGCCAGATGCTGAGAGTTCCAGTCTTTCTGCTTGGTTCTCAAACATTCCACCCTCCACAGCTAAATGACTAAACACACTGGGGATAGGAGAGTCAACCTTTCATTGTGCAAAGTATTTCAAATTCCATGTGCTGGGGCTGGGGATTTAGCTCAGCGGCATAAGTGCCTGCCTTGCAAGCAGGCAGTCATGAGTTCGATCCCCAGTACCGATAAAAACGAAAAAGACCCCCCAAAAAAAAAAAAAATTCCATGTGCTACAGACTTTGAAGTGGGGACAGGATTTGCTTAGGCCAAAGTGTCTAAACCTCTCATCTATAAAATGGAGACATCCTCACCTGCCTTGCTGTGAAGATCAAGTGAACTAATGGAGTTCAGCAAACTTATGTCCCATGTTCAAGCCCAGTCTGCCACCTATTTTGTTAAGTAATATTTAATTAGAACATGCTCATTTATACATTAACTGTGGTCTCTTTGAAACAGGGTTTTACTATGTAGTTTAGGATGACCTTGAACTACATAGCCTAGGCTGGCCTCAAACTCATAGCAATCCTCCTGCCTCCGCCTCTCAAGTGCTGGGATTACAGGCATGCAGCACTATGCCCAGCTTTGAAGTCTTTTGCTCAATACAGTCTTGGTGTAGAATAGTCAGGTCATAAAAATATATAAGCAAAATATGCAGATCCTTTCCTGAATGCAAAGTGATAGGGACAACACACACACACACCAGTCTTTGAGACAAGTCTATACAGTTGAGGCTGGCCTTCAACTCACTTTGTAGCCTGTCTGGCCTTGAACTTACAGCAAGTGGCCTTGAATTCACTACCAAGTGCTGGGATTACAGGTATGTACCACCATGCCCTGCTGTGGGGGATTATTTTGTTACATGGAAATGGATTATAGCTTTCTATTCCTCCCCTAACAGTGAAAATACCATTCCTGCTAGGGCTTTAGCTCAGTGGCTCAAGTTCTTGCCTGGTTAAGTGTGAGGTCAAGACTTCAATTCCCTGTACTCAAAAAAAAAAGAAAAAGAAAAATACCACTCCTACACACCAACAATGAGTTACTGGAAAAAGAAAACACACCAAATCATACTTCGTAACATCACAATCATGGCACCACTTATATCTGATAGGCTATGATCAAGTAAAATAAAATGTTAAAAAGGTGACTTTACCATTTTCTTGGTTGGCTTTCTGCATCGTCTTCTCAGTTACACATTTTATCCAGTCTTTTCTTGAACTTTTTATTCCTGAAACTATTTAGATATTCATTTTCAGATTGCTGTTCATTTATTTTACAACAAAGAAAAGGCACATAAGCCTAAAACAGATTTGAACCACATCAAGATACATTGTGTCCATAGCTAACTACAAAGACCCTACAAAGGTTTTAGGTGCTTGAATACCTTACAACTGTGAAGGGAATTTACAAGCCCTTAGTCCCTCCAGTGCTTATTAGTTAGCAGCCAGCAACCCCCAGGCTCCTGAGACATCCTGGGCTGCACTGCACAGCACTTCCTCCACAGCTTTTCCTCAGGCTGCAAGTCAGCTTTTGCGACCACATAGTCAGTGACTGCTCGCAAGACAACCAAAGCTTGACCCATTTCTTGATTAACAAAGGGACGACTTCTTTATTAGCCTCACCTCCTAATATTTAGAACACAATTTCAAATGTACAGGGCTGCTCTGAAATTGGAAGTTCAAATGCAAAGTTAACAAGACTTGCAGAACACATGCACACCCGATACTTGTCATTGCTTCTCATTTCCTGCCATTTACAAGGATGGGTGAAAACGCAAAATAAACACTGCCCAATAAAACACCAATTTGACGAAAAAACAAAGTGAGGTGCTCCGTAAGAGATTCATGTGGTCCCTGGGCATGCAGGTGAGGCTGTGTCCACTCAGAACCCCTGTTCCAATGCCATACACATGACCAAGAAAATCATACCAGACCTTGCGCGGTGACCTGCTCCTCCGGGTAAGCATTGAGAGCCGATTTGTCCTCAGCAGAGTTTGTATTCTTTAACAGTACATCCGGGCATAACTTGAACTCCAGCAGGCCTGGCTTTGAAGCAGAGTCCTTCCCTGGGAAAGAAGCCGTAGGCTTGTGTTCCTGGTTTTCACGTTTCCCAAGCTTCCAGGAGGAACCGGTGAATGTGCTAAGACAGATGCGCTCACGCTCTGTGCACCTGAAGTTCACTCGGTTCAAGTATGACTTTCTCTGTTCTTTTGACTGGGGAGACATCTCATTGCTAATGTTGCACAAGGTTTTGTCTACTTTGGTTTTGGTTGGCTGTTTACCATCTGCTCTCCCTTTCACCTGGTTCCAAAGGGCACACGTTTTAGACTCCTCAGCAAGGTGGGCTTTAAGGTCTTTACCACAGTTAGCACAAACATTTGAGGACTTTTTCAAGGTCTCTAAACTGCTGCCACCTTTACCATTCAATCTTCCACAACTTTCTACTTGTGCACAATCTGTAGTGGGGCTTGTGGATGTGAAATTGCCTGAAACATTTTCCAAACAGATTTTCTTGGCAGTTTCAGCCATCGGTCCGTTTTGCCTCTTCCTCTGGAAGTATTCCTGCAGTGTTATCACTTTCTTAAGCCTGCAAGAACCATCCTTGGCATCTGAGGCCTGTGTCTGTGGTGCACTCCGTTCTTGAACAGTGGTTCTTCCCTGTGTGTCCTTGACATCTGAGGCCCGCGTCTGTGCTGTCTGCTCTTTAACACTGTTTCTTTCTCTAGTGTCCTTGGCACATGCGGCCTGTGTTTGTGATGCCGTCTTATTGCTAACTGTGGCTCTCCCCCTTGTGTCCTTGGCGTCTGAGACCTGCGTCTGTGCTGCCTGTTCTTCAGCAGTGATTCTTTCCCTAGTGTCCTTGGCTTGTGAGGCCTGGGTCTGTGATACGGCCTTGTCTCTAACTGTGGCTCTCTCCCTTGTGTCCTTGGCATCCGAGGCCTGCATCTTAGACACTGTCTGCTGTCTAATGCTGACTCTTTCCCTAGTGTCCTTAACATTTGACAACTGTGACTGTGATGCTGTCTTGTCTCTATTTGTGGGTCTCTCACCTGTGTTCCTGAAGTCTGAGGACTTTAATGTACTTTCTCTGACAATGGCTTGCTCATTCGGGTTTGGCACACTATCACATGACTTGTACGTCACTCCTGTATTTTTATTCTGTTCTTCTTTATTGGATCTCCTCTTTTTCATCTCCAAACCTGTTACTTCCTCTTGTTCTAACTTCCTTTTTTCAAAATGTGCTTCTTGGGGACAGCTTTCTCTGGATTTTAATTTTTTTTCTGAAGAGGACTGTACATAAGAGCCATTCTTCCTACATGGGTCTTTACTTGGGAAAAGACTCACTTTGGGGTCCAGTAGATCTGAGTTCTGCAGTGTGTGTTTCTTCAGGGGCCCCTCCTCCTTTGAAGCTTGGTCAGGACTGCTGGATTGGAATTTGACCTCATGAAATTTGAGTTTTACTCCTTTATTCCTCTGTGAGGAGCCTAGTTTACTGTCTTTAGATGACAACTGGCCATTTAATTCTTGCCCCTCATTTGCCAAGGCCCCACATTTTTTTCCGCATGCATCTTTATCACTGATTTTACATTTAGGGGGAACCTGATCAGGTAGCTGTGTCTTGCTTGGTGTGCTGTCCTGCCTGGGTTCAGATGCATCTTTTATATTGTTGTCATTTTTTTTAGTCAAATGTGACTTCTCAGGTACAGCAGCAGGAGGTGTTTTTGGATAAGGTGAGACATCATCACACTGAGCAGCAGTGACGCCCGCAGTAATGGTCTGTTGTCCTTGTTCACAATTGCTGGTTTTCCATGGAGCCTGCTGCACCTCCTCCTTATTCACCTCCACAATGTTACAGCGACACTTGGGGACCCCTTCATAAATCATTGCAAGCCAGCCCAGAGCACAGCAATAGATTTTGTCCGTGTCCTCTGGACAATCTGGATTTTCTCCTCCGGGGGGAATCAAGGGGTCACACTGGCTCTCAACTTCTGTGACGCACTTTTTTTTGGGAGGTTCTGATTTGTCTACCTCATGGTGTTGGAGTGTGTCTGCATCACGGGGTTCATCCTGTTCGGGAAATAATTCTTTCATTTGTTCTGAGCTTAGGACTGTAATTTTTAGTTGGTCTGTGGGTTCCTTAGTATGAAAACTGACTTTACCACCACTCTGATCTTCTGAGACCTGTTCTGTCTTTTGGCTCACAAAACTCCCATATGGGTTCAGGCCTTCGATGCCATAAGGGAACTCCTTTAAAAGTTCCGACAGCTGGTCATGCAGGCAGGTGGGGTGGTCCTGACTGTCACCCACTGCAGGGTGCTGGGCAGGGAGACCACTGGAATTGTTGAAGTCCTCAGAGGAAATGTCCTGCTTAGCAGCAGCAGCTGGAGAATAGCATGCATCCCTAGGGGTGTCCAAATCCTCAGGAGTCCTGTCTGAGTTGCTTTCCTCTAGAACCCCTGGCTCCACAAATGAGGAACCTACAAGCTCCTGTTTTTCTTCCCTCCTTACCACGGCAATGGCATATGGAAAGTCTGTGTATTGTACATATTTACTGTCTTTACTCTCAGTAGCTGGTTCCACTGGTTCTTTTTGGTATGCAGTACTAATTACTTGCTGACTGGGCAGAGAAACTTTTGATGGCTTAACCTTTTTCAAAGGGGAAGAGCTGAACATCTTTGCAATCTTGGAATTATATGATACATCCCCTTCAACAAGAGAGCAAATATTTTCAATCTGTAATAAATCATCACTCACAAGAGCTCTGTCCTTTGGTTTAGGCAAGGTTTGCAAACCATTTAGACCACAGCCCTGTTCCACATGAGCACTGGACACATCTTGTAAATTACCATTACTTGGCTCATTCTGCTTTTCCTTCTGAATCAAAGGGATAACCTTGGCTGACGTTGGACTCACTACTGGCTTGGTAACATCAACTTTCAAGGCAGCAGTTATCACTGCATTTTCTGCTGCTGGCTGATTCTGTAAGCTACAAATGCTGCCTTCTTTGATAACAGGATACACTGGCTCAGGCAGAGTTCCAGGTGTTATTTCTTTGATGACATTTGAAAGAATCAAGGGTGACACTACAGCAATCTGGAGTTCTGTCCCCTTTGCTACATTTGCACATGAAGGCTCATAATTTTGCACTAGCATGGACAAAGTTGCTTCTTGCAATGGGTTTACTGCTTTGTTCTGAGGATTTCTCTCAATTGAAGGATGATTCTCCACAGGGACTTCCGGGGGCTTTGACATTCCAGTGGATGCATCTGTCATCTCAGTAGCCTGTTTCTCCCCGGCAGGATTTGAAGCCTTTTCTTCTGCCATTTTTGATGGTTCATCTTTCCAAAGATTAAGACATGTTTTTACCAGTTCCATGGAACACTGAGTTTTAGCAGGGATGTCTTTTACTAACAATTCAGGACGTTGAGCTGGCTCATTGGCCAAGCTAATATTAACTGATTTACAACCTGCTGCTATCAACAGATCTTTATTAATTTTAATTTTCCTTGCCAGTTCTGAAAACTTTTTTTTGATTTCTACTAATGACTTAATATCTCTTGCTAGCTTTTCTTTTGTAATAGCTGTGTCAACTCCTTGACTTGAAGTTGGATTACAAGAATCCACTCTTTTCTCTTGATTGTTTTGAGAAGTCTGAACACCATCCACAGATCTAGTTGGCTCACTAAAATGTCTGACATTAGCATTGAATTTTATGTCACGGAAATTCCCTAATGCTGCAAGATTATCATTTGTGCTTTGCCACTGCTGCTGAAAACCTTGACAGAAATCTTTTTTTGCTTCAGACGAGTGTGTCTCTGGATTCTGAGGAACTTCCACGGACAAATTTTTGGTGACATGTTGCACATTCTGCATGGGCTGGCTTCCATATCTGCAGTTGTAAAGAAGGGGGGGTCTTGTGCTGCTTTGTAGGGAATACTGATAAGATAATGCTGTGGCTTGATTTGATGGAGCAGAGGTTGGGAGTTGGTTATGTGTGCTCTGTGATGGTACAGAAGGCATGAGGATGTTCTTGTGAATAGTGGGATCCGGTATGAAACTTTGCGCTGGGTAGGAATGTTGCTTTGGGAGTGGTCTGTAGTCCAAGAATGCTGGTTCATCAGATACATGTTGTTGTGGCCAATCAACCTGTCGATTTGTCAACAACTGCAACAATCCTTGATTTCCCTGTAAAGGTACAGGGACTCTGGCTGAATTCTGAGTCGCCTGCAGCTGCATGGAGTATGTGTCTGATGCTGTATGCTGAGTCTGCAGTGTGTGTGAATTAGCTAGATTTGTTCCTAAGTGAGTCTGGTGAGACACAGTTGCCTCTATTTGGGGGGGTGTAGAATTCATCATTGAAGAATTCAATCTTAGGTTTTGTATAACTCCTGAAGTCACCTGCAAATTTTGATTTAGTTGCATGGGTCCTTTAGCATTTGTGTATACTGTTCTTTCCACTGAGGTCTGCAAGGTCACCACTGTTCTGCTAGGCGTAGTACAAGCAGGGACTTGAAGATTAACATTGTAATTTCTGACACTCGGCAGAGGCTGTGACACTGCATTTGAATTACTGAGATACATGTAGGGTTCCTGGTTACTTGCAGGACAACTGAAAGAACTTTGAGATGTGTTGGAAAGTTGGTTCGATGCATACGGCAGAGAAAAGGCAGGCTGAATTTTACGATACGGTGGTGGTAATGGAGCCCTCTGTGGTTTTGTATTCCAACTCATAGTTGATCTGATACAGAAGTGGCGTGGCCAGAGTCTGTTGTTCTGAATGTCAGGATCTGTTAGATAAAGATTTTTTATTAAAATTCTGTTCTATCTAGATAAAACACAAAGAGAATTAGCAGCTATCAATTGTTGAAAATTCACCCAAGACAAACTGTCTACCTCCCCAGGATATGTATATAGTGCCACCTTACCTTCTCAGAACAACAGTATTTTCACAAATAAAATATGTACCAGGAATGGTGGTACAGACTTATGACCCCAGCATCAGGGAGGTTGAGGCTGAAGGGTCACCGAGAGCTTATAGCCAGCCTAGCCTAACCAACTGATTTAAGGCCCAGCCTGAATTGTGTAACAAAACTCTGTCTCAAAAGCAAAACAAGGGTTGGGGATTTAGCTCAGTGCCGTTAAGTACCTGTCTGGCAAGTGCGAGGTCATGAGTTCCGATCCCCGGTACGAAAAATAAATAAATAAAATAAAAAAAAAGCAAAACAAACATGTAAGCTTGTGGTCCCAACTTATTGGGAAGCTACAGCAAGAGGATCAGTTTGAAACCTAAACTCACGATCCTCCTGCCTCAGCTTCCTGAATAGCCAGAACCAGACATATGCCACCATGTCAACACTTGAACAATGGCTATAATCCAATGAGCCTCAGGGTTAGCAACCTGGGTGGAGCCAGGAATGATACATTCTGAAAGGGTATAGAAGTGCCACCCCACCCACACCCCAGCTCTGGCCTATGCTTCACTATCACCTGACTGACCCTGTGTGGTACCCTTCATAAAACAGCAGGTCTCAGCAATTCCACATACGTGATCTTGAAGTGCTGAATGAGTGTAGTAAAACAGTATCATCCTCTCTGCCTCTGCCAAGTTTGTGGGGTTTTTTTTTTTTTTTTTGAGGGGAGTCTCACTATGTGATTAAGGTTAGCCTTGAACTCATCATGTAACCCAGAATGGCCAGAAGTTGCTATGTAAGAGTCTCCTGCCTCAGCCTTCTGAGTGTTAGGATTACAGGATCACTGTGCCTAGCAGAGAAAAGGTGTTTAACTTTGTTTTTTATAAATTAAAGTAGATAACATCCTTTACATATGCTATTACTTTGGCTGTTTCTAAAATTCCTACATAAAAAAACAATGTGACAAAAGATATAAATCGCTGTTGAAAAAGGCTGAAGTAATTTATATTTGCAAGAACTGTACTCTAAAATTAGACAAGCTCATAAGCAGGCGACACTAAGAACTCTTTTATAATGAACTGCAAGTCAACTATTCTGGGGAAAGAAACCAAGATGCAAGCTGTAAGACATAATCATATGATACCTTTAGCTCTCAGAAGCCACACTATCCAGTCATCTGTAAGATGCCAGTAGCCCACATGTCTGTCAGAAAAGCAGGGTACCTGGGCACAAGCTCTCAGGTGGGCTTCCAATCCCCCACCGACTCCTTTGACTCCTGTGGTGGCATCCTGGCAGAGCGGTCTACTGGCATCAGCCTCTCACCTCCTTGGTTGGCTTCTAGTCATTCTACTAACTTTTTAATAGGACACTGGTCTGCAATGGTACAAACAATAGCAGCAGTGCTGGCATTCTTCCGAGGTGCACAGATAATTCTGGCCAAGATCATGAAAAACTTCAAACTGTAAAGGATTAACATAATTTATTATATGTAGCCCAAGGTGGCTTCCAACTCATCCTGATTATTGGGCCTCGATCTCCTACATGATTGGATTACATGCATGCACTACTACTACTGGCAGCAATGAATTTCTAGAGGTGTACTATAGCCGTCAGCCGGGTATGGGAACACATACTTGTAATCCATGTGCTTGGAAGTCTGTGGCAGGGAAGACTGTTACAGGCTTGAGGCCAGTTTGGGCTGAATATTGAGTTTACGCCAGCCTGAAACACATAATGAGACCTTAAGAAAAGAAAAGAGGCTGAGGCAGAAGGATCACTGAGTTCGAGACCAGCCTAGGCTACAAAGTGAGCTCAAGGCCAGCCTGAACTGCACAGAGAGACCCTGTCTCAAAAAGACAACAAAACAAAACAAACAAACAAACAAAAAAGACAAGGGGATAAAAGTAGAATAAAAATGAAGATAACTTTTGGTACTAAACTAATTTTAGAAAGATTTGAGGACCTGGGTTTGATCCTTGACAGGCCAATATTAACAGTAATATATCATGATCAAACTCAAAGGGTGCTCACTGTAGAAATATGGGAAGTTATTCCATTAACAAAAAATTACATTCATTTTCACAGATGCAAGCTAAGAATTTTTCCTAAAAAACCCAACAACCATCCATTAAAAGAACAACTGTACTAAGACTAGAAATTTCTTTTATGATGCTGGGAATCAAACTCTAGGTCTTCTGAATCTGATGCAAGAGTTCTTTCACCTTTTATCTTGATGAAGGGTAGTGACAGGCCTTTTGACAACAGACGCCATAATCAGCCCCTCACTTATTCAATGTCCAAAGATCCTAGCTGATGTAAGAAGAGGAAACCAAGACTACAAAGTGTAAGAACCACAGAGGACACCACGTGAAAGCAGGGTCAGAGACCATATAGATTCCCTAAGCTAATATTCCTGAAAGTAAGGTCAGTATACAGCTGGGGATGTAGCTTTTCTCACTGTCTCATTGTGAGACAAAATACTCAACACCCAGAGTTAAAGGAGAAGAAATTAATGTAGCTCAGTTTATAGAGGCTGCAGTCCACAGCTGGGTGACTAGGGTGGCATGGCAGGAGGAAGACTGCAAAGCATTAAGCAGGAGGAATAGCGGTAGCAGACCGCCCATGAGTGGTACCATCTACAACCAGGCTGGGTCTCCCCATCATCCACACTCAGAACTATTCCAAACCAATCAGTGGGCTGATACAGCAATCATTCACCTTAGATCCAGTCACCTGTGAAAAGCCCTACCTATCAGTGTATGAGGCCTTGGGGCCACACCTAGACACAAACCATGAGACACCTTCAGTTCCAGACATGAAGCTCCTAAAACCTTTGTTGATGACGATTCCCCCCTTTATTGTTCTAATACTCAGTCTTTCACCTAGTTCCTGACAAAAATCTGGATCTGGGAATTTCCTGAGTGGCACTGGTAACCATCCTGTGGGCCAGGTGGAGGACTGGCTGCTGAGAAACCCACCTTGTGATCAGGACTAAACTCAGCATTACTGGAGGTTTTGGTGACCAGGCACACAATCAGTAATGAAAATCTCTGTACAGCCAGGCCTGATGGTTCATGAATGTAATCCCAGCACTGGGGAGGCTGAGGCAGGAGGATCACTGCGAGTCTGAGACCAGCCTAGGCTACAAAGTGAGCTCAAGGCCAGCCTGAACTGCACAGAGAGACCCTGTCTCAAAAAGACAAAACAACAAAAATCTCTGTATAGACTCTAAATTAGTCCACAGGCTAGTAACTTGTGGGAGCAACATTTTTTTTTTTTAAGTATTAGAAAGTATATACTATATGCCAGGCATGGTGTGTGCACACCTATAATCTCATCACTTAGGTAGGAGAAACATCATGAGCTCAAAGCCAGCCTAGGCTACATTTCCAGGCCAGAATAAAATTGCTACTCAATGAAAATATCATATAATTCAAAGGCTGCAGTAATAGCCACTCTGCATTAAAAAAAACAGGAATAAAAAGTCAGAAAGAAAGAGCTGATGGAAACCTATCCAAGTATCAAATATGGCATTCAACATGAATTAAGCAGTGTGAAAGAAATGTCAGACTGGATTTAAAAATCTGCCCAATTTTGAGCCTGGTATGGTAGCACACACTTGTAATCCCAGCACTGCTCTAGTTGTCTTCACGCACATGTACCTTACATCTGGAGCTGAACTCTGAAGGGACAGGGAAGCAACCACACCTACAGCAGCCAAGCTGGCATCTTAGTTCACTTGGTTTTCATACTCAACACCAGAGGCTGAGTGGTTGTTCAGAAGCGGCTCTGGCTCACAGTTCTAAAGCTGGGAGTCCTAAGGCACACAGCTGCATGCAGTGCATCACACAGCAAGAGACTGAACACTCAACCCGAGCATCTATCTGGCAGTGCTTACTAGAGGAAGAGACTTAACACAAGATACACAAATATGTAAGGATTTACAAGATTGGCTCACGACAGCCACCCACAGAGCCAGGTACGGGAGGATGCAGAAGAGCTGTCTTTGCTGGAACTCTTAGTCAGGAGGTAGAGGGTCTATGCTGGGAGCCAGGAACCACATCCAAGGTGAAGGTAGACCAGAGCTCCTCTGAAAACACAGAGGCACCCGCTTTCTTTCTTTTATACCACTCTAGGGACAATCCTCCCTAGGGCAGGTCTTCTACACCCAGAACTATGCTGAGCCAATTCATCTGGGGGATTCTTACTCATGTGACACCATTTGTCAACGATCACAGGCTGCCTCCACCCCATTTTTTTTTTTTTTTTTTTTTTTTTTGTCTTTTTGAGACTGGGTCTCGCTATGCAATTCAGGCTGGCCTTGAACTCGCAACAATCCTCCCACCTTAGCCTCCCAAGTGCTGGGATTACAGGCATGAGCCACCACGCCCAGCTTTTTCCATTTCTGTCTTCTAACATCTCATGATGGGGGGCGGAATATAACATGGGGCTCAAAAGGAACAGACAAAAAAACTAAAGAAAGTTATTAGAGGCAAAGGAGATGTATTGGGGGGAGGGGTGTTTGGAGACAGGATCTCACTATGTAGCCAAGGCTGCCCTCAAATTCCTGGTGGTCCTCTTGACTCAGCCTCTAAAGTGCTGAGATTGCAGGCCACCACACCCAGCTGAAGAGATGCGTTTTATATTAAAGCAAGGATCTAGTCGTCAAGATGTAACAGCTGGGAACACATACAGTATGCACCTAATATAGGAGCAAAACACAAGAAGCAAAATGCTTAGTGAAGGATACTCAGCCAATGAGAGACCAAGACTTCCCCACCCAACCTTCAATGAGGAACAGAATAGGTAGAAAAATCAATAAGGAAGTAGAACCCACTTAACACAAAGGCATTCCTTTCCAGTGAGTCAAAAGAAAACTCCAGCAGACTCCTAACAAACAGGAGGTAATCAACTGCCTGTTGGTTCCTGGCACTGGACTCTGCCTCTGTACTCTGTGCACAGGGTCAGCAAGTCCTGGAATGGATGCTAGTATCAACTAAACGCTGGAGTCTTCTCTTTAGGAATAATTTTTTCTCATTCCTAGAACCAAACCCAGGTCCTTTATATTGAACTATTCCACCTTTTTAATATTTTCTGATACAGGAAGTTATTAAGTTTCCCAGGCAGGGTCAAACTCAAAATCCTCCTGTTTCAGCCTTAGAGCTTACTGGGATTAAAGCTGTGTACTAGCTGCACCTCACTTGGCTTAATATACCCCTCTCATAGACATATGGTATTTATACATCTTTACTGGATATAGTAGGGTAACAATTTTCTTCTTATATACAATGTATACTGACAAAATCAGAATGATTGAGTACTTTTTCATCTCCTCAGGTATCGTTTTTGTTTTTGGAGTTTTCTTTGTCTTCACTATTTTAAAAGAGCATCCTGTTATAAACTGTGAAATCTGCAATCCTTCCCATCTGTGATCTGGACTGCCTTGTGACTTCTTTCCTTGCCTCACTCATGAATAGTAGTATACATCTACAATCTCAGAGGATCATCGCCACAAGTTCTAGGCCAGCCTGGACTCCACAGCAAGGCTTTGTCTTCAAAGTTTAAAGCTGTATGATGTATGCACAGGAAAAATGTTTGTACACACATGTAGTATTCAGTAAGAGCAACAATTTTACCTCAGTTTGTAAACCAGGCAGACTAACACAGTCAGCAAATGAGCTTGGCTATGCTACCCAACCCCTTTGGCAACAGGGCTACCCATTTGCAAAATAGACAATTCTAACCCCACGACAGCTTATTCTACTGTCTAGAGCCTGTGATTGGTCTGCACAGCTCTGGGTAGGACTGAGGGTATCACTATGGGTGTGCAGGGCACCCTCTCTAATGGTGTGCAGCTGGGGTAAGACATAAAAACATGAGGCAGAGAGAGAGTACTGCCTGCTCCTTGTCTCCTGTTACTCCCTACCTGCTCTGTCCTGCTGCCCTGCCTTGGGGCCAGCTGACTATGGGCTCAATCTTCTACAAACTGTGATCCAAAATAAATCTTTTCTTCTAAAACTTTGGGTATATTTTGTCTCAGCAATGAGAAAGAAAAGTTAACTAAAACAAACCTGGAAAGCTGTGGCTGCCCTCACTGGGCAGCAAGGAGCCCAGGCATGTCAACACTGATAAAGTGTTAGAGCTTAAGCTGGGCTTGGTGGCACACATCTATTATCCTAGCACTCGGGAGGCTGAAGCTAGAGCACTGCTGTGAGTTTGAGGCCAATCTGGACTCCTTAGTAAGATCCTGCCCCCAAAACACCAAACAATAATAACGATAATAATACAATTCTAGACAGGCACAGTAGTATACAGTGTAACCCCAGCAATGGGGAGGCTGAGGCAGAGGGGATGCCAAAAAGATCTGCCAAAACATAGACTAGTACCACTGTTTTTTTGCTCTTAGAGGACATTTTTTATTTTTGTTTTTTTTGAGATAGGGTCTCACTACATAGTCCAGGCTGGTGTCAAATTCACTCTCCCAAGTACTGGAACTGTAGCTGTGTTGCCACCATACCTGGGAGAAAAAAGCTTTTTTTTTTGGTTTGTCTGGTTTTTTTGAGAGTCTCACTATGTGGTTGAGGCTGGCCTCAAACTTGCAATGATCCTCCTGCCTCAGCTTCCCAAGGAAAATAGCTATTTTAACGTGCAAGCTAAACTATTTTATAGCTTTAACTGTCTGGGATCCTGAACAGTTTTTAGTCCCTATAAATATGTTGGTATAGTTATGCAGGGTCAGAACATCCCACGCAGCCTTCCAGAGAAGGAGCTGCACCTGTCCTCCAACCCTGGGGCTCTCCTTGGGCCTGTCTCTCCAGTGGGCTCAAAACTGTCACTTTTATTGTTACTGTTCTGCAATAAGAATACAGAAAGAGAAAAACACAAAGCTAAAACTAAACAGGCATATCACTATCCCCCATGCATCCATTTAAAAAGGAATACAAACAACTGCATGACAATACTGGAGCATTTAAATGAAAACACAATCTCCAAAGATGTGATAACCAAAACTGATTCAGTGGGAAATGCAGATCACCTTAACTGAATAGTAACCAAAAACAATCCACAAAGAAATGCTAGGAGTAGGGCCAGGGGTGGTGGCTCATGCCTGTAATCCCAGCACTTGGGAGGCTGAGGCAGGAGAATTCTTGCGAGACCAGCCTAGGCTAAAAAAAAAGAAATGCTAGGAACCCAGTGCAGCACTTGGGAGCTGAAGCAGGAGCAACACCATTGAGTTCAAGGCCAGCCTGAATGAACCAGACTTGGCCTCAAAAAGAAAAAACAAAACACCTGGGTTTACATGGCTCACTGGAGAAGCACACTGAAAATTAAAAGATCAAAAAACAATTATAAAAAAAGCACGCTGTAATTCCTATAATCCCAGCAAGTGGAAGAGTGTGACAGAAGGATCACAAATTTAAGCCAACCATCAACTAAGGAAAGGATAAAAATGTTGTATTTCTATACAATGGAGTACTACTCAGCTATAAAGAATGATCTAATTGAGATATTTATAAATAAATGGACACGACTTGAGACCATACTCATAAGCAAAATAAATCAAATTCACATGTATAAATACCATATACTCAATTTTTTCCTACAGGCTGCACCCATTACAGTTACACAAGTTTCTTGTTTCTCAGACAAAATACCCAACACCCAAAGTTAAGTGAGGAAAAGTTTATTTAGCTCATAGTTTATGGGTGGTTTCAGTAATCAGCTAGCTTCAAGGCAGAGGAGCAACCATTCACTGTGGTGAAAGATAGGAAAACCAACAAGAGCAGAAAAGGGCAGAGCAAGCCTCTTTCCCTCCCCTATAGTGCAGGCAGGCTACCTGCTCTAGGACGGGGCCATACACCCTAGGATGTATAATTTCTGAGTCACTTAGTTAAGCTTTTAAACATCTCAAATTGACAATGAATCAATCACAATACCCTAGGATGCGAACAGCTGCTCCAGGCAGATCCTTTACACCCTAGGATACCGAACTGCTGAGTCACTTGCTTCTAAAATGGCACAATGAATCAACCATCACACACAGACACACACACAGACACACAGACACACACACACACACACACACACACACACACACACACACACACAAAACAGAAAAAAGACATTTGCATTAGAAAGAAGTAAAATCAACTCTACTGGCAGATAACATGTAGAAAAAAATCACAGGAAACCCACCAAAAACTAATAGACTAACGTGGTAATGTGGTTCGATTACAAAATATAAGTATAAAGTCTATTATACTTCTCGACAGTTATAGAGAAAACAATCCCATTTACAGGTGTAGGAAAAGTAAAAATTTGAAATAAATTTAACAAAAGCTAAAAAAAAACCAATGCAGCCAGGTGTGATGGCACCTGTAATCCCTGCATTCTGAGAGGTTGCAGCAGGAAAACCACTAAGTTCTAGCAGAACCTAGGCCATTTAGTAAGGTACTGTCTCAAGTTTAAAAAAAGAGATAATCAGCTAAGAAATCTGTACTGTGAATCTGAGTATTATGGAACATTGGTAAAAGAAACTAAAGACCTATGTAAACAGAAAACACATCACAGGCTGGAAGACAAGATCAAACTGCCACTGTACCATGAATGGACTTACAACTATGGTGTAGTACTTACTACAAATGTCCTGTGGCTCTTTGCAGATATTATGATTCTAACGTTAAAATTCTTAGGCAAATGAAGTGGCCCAAGAGCAAGAACAATCACAGAGAAAGCTGGAGGATTCACATTCCCTGAATTTAAAACTTCCATGAAAACTGTATAGTCAGCACCACAAACCTGGGAATAAACCCTTGAAGTCCTGATCATCCTCCAGGAACAAGAACATATATGAAAAAAAAACCACAAAAAACTGTACAATGTGACACTACAGAGACAACTGAAATATACAGTGAGACCGCTGCAGAACTGGTATCGAACCAAAAAGATGATGTTCCACACCAAGAGCAAGAAGACACATGTTTATTATGCCAGTGGGGCTGATGGTGGGATCTGTATTAGGCTGGGGCTGATACAGGATTAGCAAGCAGGAAGTATAGAAGCAGAGTGCCTGGAAGCCTATGATTGGGTAAAAATTATGGTCATCATCAGTTACTAAGCAAGCAATTTTAAGGTGTGCTGGTGGGAACAGGATATGTTTATCAGAGAAGCAGAGACCAAACAGCAAGGCACATTTCCCCTTATTTAGAGTAAGTATATCTTAGTATATCTTGTGATCTTGCTGCATCAGCACATTGTGGTCTCATTGCATTCAAAAGGCAGGGGGTTAAAAGTTCTAAAATTTCTCTTATAAGATGCTGTGAGGGGGCTGGGGGTTTAGCTCAGCGGCATAAGCACCTAAGCAGGTGGTCGTGAGTTCAATCCCCAGTACCGATAAAAATGAAAAAGACAAAAAAAAAAAAAAAAAAAAAGATGCTGTGAGGGAGCCACATAGAATGGTGGACACATATGTAAAAAAAAGGTTGGAACACCAGTGGCCAAATATCAATCAGAACGAGACTTAACTCCAGGCTCAGCATAATGGATATAATAGTAAGAACAAATGTGGGGCAGATAGAAATGAACTAACAGGCAGATACAGCAGCACATCCTATTACTGGACTCACGGTTTGGTAACTCCTTCCAAACATTTTGAGATTTATCACTCATAGACCCTTAAGTATTGCTTCTCTGAATTTGGGCTCATATCACATATCAAGGCTCCTTCACTGATAGCAATAGCATCACTTTTAACAACCAAAAGGTGCAAAACAACCAAGTCTTTGTTAGTTCAGGAAAGCAAAAACAAAATGTGGCCCATCTTTGGGGTGGAATGTTACCTGTCAATGAAAATCTTGTATGTTTCCACAAAAATGAGCCTGGAAAGCATCAGGCTGGGCAGATTCACAGGTCCACATATGCTCCAAATCCATGGAATATTCACATCATGCTTAACTCCAAAGGTAGACTCTAGATTAACAGCTGCCTATAGACGGGAGCACTGGGAAGGAATGGGGAGTTATTACTTACAAGAAATGGAGATTCAAACGGGGCTAAGAAACTGTTACCAATGTTAGATGGCTACACATCTGTGAACACACTGAAAACAAGTAAATCATATGCTGTGTATAAATGGGTAAACAAGTCCCACATGAATTACCTAGAGCTACAGCTAGAAGACATTTTTTGTTATTAGCTAGGCGATGAGCACATGACCCACTGAGAGTTACGTTCAGCAGAGCAGCCAGACAAAAGCCAAGTTCCAGGGCTGGGGATTTAGCTCAGCAGCATAAGCACCTGCCTTGCAAGCATAGTCATGAGTCTGATCCCCAGTACTGATTTTAAAAAAAGCTAAGTTCCAGGTAACCCAAAGGAGACTGGTCACTTAGGTGGAGAAGCCCCTGTAGGAGTGCAGAAACCAGAACAGAGAGGCTACAGTTTGGCCATGGAGATGTAAAATTTTCTGAGGAAAAATCACTCCTGCTTTAATTGCAGGGCTATGGTCAAATACAGGGCCTTGAGAATTCAGAAGGAGCTGAACTCCTCAGCTAGCTCCCCTCTCAGGAGGTCACACTTATCACCGGATCTTAGATCAGGTTGCTTCTGTGGATCTCCCCAAACAAGGTCTCAGTTCCCTAAGGACTTCAGGAACCATCTCAAAAACCCCAAGGTAAGAGGAAAGTAACTCCACCCTGTGGCATTTTCCTTCTGGCCTTAAGAGGGACCCTTGAGCCCTCACAGGGTCTCAGTGTTTTGGAAGGAAGGGGACAGATCTGTGGTTTCCTATCCCTTTTCCTGCTGCCTGGCTACAGGTTGCCTGGTGTAGATACTGCCATGGCAACCAACAGTCACAGAAGATGAATTACAACCCCCCTGACCATTAGCCAGAGAGCCTTGGGAGCTGAAGATTCTTTCCCTTCTCCTGTTGATGCTCCAGTTGACAGCAAATCTTCTCCCCCTGTCTCCCATCTGTTCCCCTTCAGAAGCTGCCTGCATAAAGGGAGATGCGCATATTGGCTCTTCAATTCCATACTACCCTCATTCCCTAGCAGTGACCCCAATGACACAGAGCATTGCAGTTCCAAAACCCAGTCCATGCTGAGCTTGAGAGGGCTGCTTCCCCTGTGCAGACCCCTGTCCTGGGAGGAAATCAACCTGCTGCAAGACACGGCTCTCACTGTGTGTCCCTCAGGTGCTCTCATCCCTCCTATCCAAGGCACTTGAGGCCTAAAGGGAGGAGGAAATGCTCAGCCTTGGAAAGCTAATTCGGGAGGACCTGCAGTGTATCTACAAATGAGGCACCATGGTGCCTGTGGAGTCATGAAAGCCTATATGGAGGTAAGGATTTGCTGATGGGTGCTCCGAAGACAAAACCCAACTCACTGAGGGCAAACCTGATGACCTCGTGAAGCTGCTGCAGACATTTCATATGGACAAGGGAAAACCTCGAAAGCTGACAGTGAAACTCAAAACACTGACCCAGAAAAATCCCATGAAAATTCAGAGAAAGAAGGGTAATGGTAGGATTTCTTCCAAGTTACTGTGGAAGAAGACCTCCAGCTGAGCAGCTGTTTCTTTCCCCACTAGCTCAGATCACTCAGCAGGGAAGGCATGCCTACCAGCCTCACCCACTACAACCCATCAGAAAGGACAGAGGTCACCCCATCCCTAGAGGTGCCCCCCATGCTTGAGATGAGGTGAGCAGAGCTGCTTCCCAGGCCAGGGGTGCAGGGCAGCATGGAGCCAAGGAGGGATCTGCTGCCAAAGAGTTGAGCCTCCCTTTTCCCCCTCTGCCATGGGACAAGCACACTCAAAAGGCGAAGGCAGGCAGCTGGAAGGGCGGTGGGGAGGAATGGTAGAAACCAGGGTTACAGACAGCAGCATGGGCCCACCGCAAGGAATGTGTCCATTGTTCTTTATTTTCGAGTGCTGGCCCTCAATGCAGCTGGGCGCTTCTTGGCAGTAGCATGTGGATTCCATGAAGGAATGAGACCATCCCGGTCTCTTAACTCACTCTCTTTGCTGCAGAGGGCAGGCCAGGCCAGCAGGGCCACATGCTAGCAGCTGGGCCCAAGGAAGCACAGGAGGACTCTGTCCTAAGTGGGGCCTGCAGGCCCTTTGCTGACTGTACAGATTAGTGCTTCTGATACCTTGTGAAGGAGAGAGCACAGCCAGCAGCTTTCAACAGCTGCTGCTGCCCAGATCAGCTCTAAAAGGTAGGAGGCCTGGGCCAAAGAACCCTCTCACAGTCAGGACAGTCCCATGTCCTGTTTCACTCCATGTGCTGCATAGCAAGAGCTTGTGATTTCTGCAAAGGAACATTCTCATATCCATGCCTGCCGCTACTACAGTCATCCTCACTCAGGTTCCAAGTGCACCAGCCACCCAAGGCTGCAGTTCCTGCTCTGCAGACAATAAGCAGCGTGACGCTCCCTCCATGGAATACACATTCTCCTGCTCCCATCTCTACTGCACTGTCCCCTATGCTGTGGATGTGGACCTGTCTTGTGAGGCCCACGCCTCCCCACATGTAGAAGCCACCAACATGGTCCCACCAGTGAGGGCCTGGGCTGGGTTCCCCAACTGTGCTTGGCCAGTGTAAAGCAAGTCTCTAAAAGTGTGCTCAGGTCCCCGGCGAGCCTCTCCTGTAGGACACACAGGCTTTTGGTGTATGCCTCCTCACATGTACCAGCCTGCCCGTGGGTGTGACAATCGGCTCTTCAGGAAGATGAGGGTAGGAGTCATCCCACCACTCCAGCCTTGCTCTCCTCATTCACGAGCTGGTAGTCAGTAACACACTGCACACAGCGCTACAGTGAGATTGGTGAGATGACGCACTCACTTGTTCAACAGAAGTGCTGTTGGTGTCACTCATCATCATCCCAACAATCTGCCCAAGGCACTGCCTCAGGGGCTGTGTGTGGCAGTCTCACTGAACCACTGCCCACACTGAAGACATCAACGGTTACCAAAAGGTAGGATTTGAACAGATCGTTTTAAACAGGTCCTCTTATCAACCAACTGCATGGTGCTTTCTTAAACTCAACTACAAACTGTAACTACAGCTGTCTCCAGATCTGATCTTTCTTTAGGAAGGCTGTATTTCCTCACTGGCTCTGTCTGAAGCTTGCTGTTATTGCTATCAGTTCCCTCCCAGGATCCTGACCACACTGACACACCCACAGGTGTGCCACTCCAGCATTACACCAGCCTGTATATCCTCAGATTCACATGAAAAAGCTCAGTCTGCACCTGCCATGGTTCCTCAATCAATGTCCTTCCCTTCCTCCTGCCACGAATATTTAACTCATGGGAGCTCAGAGTCTGCTCCAGCTTAGCTGCTATGATGAGGGACGGGGGTGCTGGCTCAGGTAAAGTCGTGGGACACAATCTTAACTAAGTTAACACGTTCACTACACTGGTACTGGTGCAAAATTTCATAATGGAGAAGGTAAAACAGTTGTGAGAATTTTACATGTGTGAAGTGCTTGTAAATGCTTATTATAAACACTTTGGTAATTAGCCAATAAAAATAAACTGAAGTACTCCTGGGTTCTAAAATATATGCAAAGAAAATACATCTTTCGGGCTGGGGATTTAGCTCAGCGGCATAAAGCACCTGCCTTGCAAGCCCAAGGTCGTGAGTTGGATCTCTGGTACTGATTAAAAAAAAAAAAATACATCTTTCTCTTATTGTCTCATTGCTGAGACAAAATATCCAACATCCAAAGTTCAAAGAGGGAAAGTTTTTTCCGCTTAAGATGCACAGGTTTTAGTCCATAATCAGCTGGCTCCACAGCATGGTGGTATGACAGAGGGGCAACAACTGATGGTGGTGGCAGATAGCAAAACCAGCAAGGACAGGGAGACAAGCCTCTTTCTGTACCTTATACTGTATGCAATCCACTGGGACTGGGCCAATCCCATCAGTGGACTGATCCAGCAATCACCCACTCACATGCTCTAGATTCAGTCACGTCTAAAAAGCCTTATGACTACATGAGGTTTTAGGGGGACATCTAGACACAAACTGTAACAATCTTGGTCTGTGGAACGAATCTCGACAAATCTTGATCTATGTAAACTGTGGGTCTTCACTAATTATTATGCATTACCGTTCAGATGTAGGATTCATTATGTTGTCAGAGACTTCACTGGACTAGAAAGCCTGCTGCCTCACTCTGTTCCTTCTCTGTACTGCCTTCATTCACACAAAGCTCTTGGGTAAGAAAGGACTCACATGGCAACATACTTTTCCTGTCCTAAATGACTAGTTTTTTAAAGCTAGTAAAATATCTGAAAAGGTTACAAAGGTTTTGTAAAACACCAACATTATCTTTCAAATTCTTATGTGTCACTGAATTGGTGGTCCTAATAAAAGTGCTATCTGAAGGGTTTTCTGTCTAAAGTAATGAGGTTTTCTTAAAACATGGGTCAGTTTGTAACTGTATTTGCACACAATTAAAGGACTGTGCACAAACGTTTTTTGACTAAGGATCCTGCTTTGTAGTACAGGGTGACCTTAAACTTGCAGCAATCCTGCTGCCTCAGCCTGCTTAGCATGTGAGGCACCACACCCAGCCTGCCATAGTTAGCTGTAAACGTTTTATTTTTATTGACTTTTTGAGATAGTGGTTCACTATGCAGCTCAGGTTGGATTTTTTTTTTTTTTTGAGACAGGGTCTCTATGCAGTTCAGGCTGTCCTTGAGCTCACTATGTAGCCCAGGCTGGTCATGACAATCCTGCTGCCTCAGCCTTCCTCACACTGGGATTACAGGTGTGAGCCACCACACACGGCTTCAAACTGGCTTTGAACCTGCAGCAAGCAATCCTTCTGCCTCTAATCCCAAATGAGGGAATGAGGCATGCACCACCTCAGCCAGCCTGTAAAGCTTTTATCTAGATCATCAGTTTATATACATTTTTATACAGTTTATATACACATTTTATACTACATTAGTACAGTTTTATACTACATTATTACAGTATATTTAACAGTCTTACATTTGAGACCAGCAATGTGTTCATGTGAGGAATGAATGCGCTGAGGCTGAAATTTGTCTAAATGCTGGTAAGTTCATAGACTTAGAAGCACATATACTTAATATATGCACGGTAACCATTACTCATGTAACACGCACCACATCTAGACCTCAAACACATAAAATGGTCAATGTAACTTTAGGCATTTATGTTCATTACCACGACAAAGAAACTCATCATTGTTCAATCATACTCCCTAAATTCTGGTCTATTTCTTGTCCACACAGACCTGTTAAAAGAATCTCACTTCCTCTTGTGAAGAGTACAAGCTATGTCACTGTGTCAGGACTTGCATGTTGCTGTGGCGAATAGTTACTGCTGGGTTTTTTGGATGTTAATTGCATTTATGTTACCCAAGAACACAGGTTTTCTATCAGTGAGGTTAAGCTCTTTATCATAGCGGTGTATTTCAAGCCAAGACTGTTAGTATGATAGTCTTCTTTGGCTTATTACTAATAAAGTGAAGATTTTAGAATACAACTTAGGCTATGCTCTTTCCAAGTGCATGTGTGTACTACTTCTAGAAATTGGAATTGCTCCTCTAAGCACTGCCTGATGGGACCTAGACAGTAGAGCAGCCACCCACAGCTCAGGTGTGACCAGACACAATTAGCAGTGTACTTCAGGAAATGGATCTGCTCGTACAGCAAGGTTTTCTCGGTTGAGAAGAAGCAAGGAGCTGGGGGAAGGGATGGTAAGCGGTCCATACCTGTAATTCTAGTACTTCAGAGACTGAGGCAACCAGACTGCTGGGAGTTTGAGGTTAGACTGGGGCACATAGTGAGTTCAAGGCCAATGTGAGCTACATAGCAAGACCCCACCACCACCACCAAAAATAAATAAAAAAAAGAAATGTAAACGTTCAGTTAAATTTAACACTACCATTTTAATCACCAGACATTATTTACACATGAAGTCCTGTAATTTGATACATCTCAGGAGAATCTCAAGTTACCAGCAAGAAACCTTCAGAGGTATTCACATAACTATGAGAAAAAAATGCAGCATTTCTGCCCTCACCGGAGATAGCCAGCTCCCTAGGCTGGCAGGCACTGTGCTCTTCAGGTTCAAGTAAAGTGAACTCACTGCAGAAGAGGCTAAAGATGACACAGTGGCCTCCCAAAGGCTTAATGCTCTTCCAAGTTCACAACATTACTTCTTTCAAGGTGAGCTTATACTTTCACAGCAGGGATGGTGACTATCTCAAATTGAATGTTGTCCAGGTCTGTTTCCCATAATGAAGCCAGCCCTTGAGGGCCCATAAAAGAGGCCTGCTTAGACAAAGTAATGCTTGACTTTTACTGGTTTTGGGTTTTTTTGGCAGCACAGAGTACTGATCCCCGATATGCAAGGCAAGTGTTCTGCTGCTGAGCTCCGCCTCCAGCCCCTTTTATTTTGAAGGGGGTACCATTCAATTTCCAGGCTCCCCTGAGCTGAACTGGAACTCAAAAGATCCTCATGGCTCTCATCCTCCCAAGTAGGATGGCTGGTGGTTTATCACTCATCTTTTATAAACACATCAACTCCCTAAACACTGGAGTGCCTGCTGCAACTATGCTGATTATCTAAATCTGAAGATTCCTGTGCCTCTCACAGGTAACAGGGAAAAACAATGCCTGGGGGCATGGTGGCAGGGACAGGGAATTCGGGAGCCAGCTAGTGCTGACTACAAAGGACCCTGTAGGCAAAACTTACTGGGGAGGAGTATTGACCAGAGAAGAGCAGCAGGACTACCAGTAATGGCTTTCACATACAGAAAGATCGTTCAAAGCATAAATGAGCATATAGAATTTCCCAATAAAGTGTTAAATATCTTAGGGTCTAAAATCTGCTTCCTGTAACAGGTCAGTTGCTAAAATTAAAGCACTCACTATCTGCCAGCCATGAAGGTAGTACTGGGGGATTGAACTCACGAGCCTTCACAAGCTACCTTCAGTGCCTTTTTTGAGATAAGGACTAAAGTCTCTAAATTGCCTCAGGTTGGCTCAAACTTGTAATCCTTCTGCCCCAGCCATACCTGGTGACTTTCTATGTTTTAAGCACAAAGCTCTTGTAACTTCCCGCAACAATCTCACAAGGCAAGCACTGTTACTCCCATTTTACAGGTGTAACTACTCAGGATAAAAGTCCCATGAGAAAAGCAAAGTAAGCTTCGCCCACAAGAAAAAAGTAACCTCCTCAATCAACAAAGCAGCAGGATGCAGTTGTCAATCAAAATTAATGTAAGAGTCTGCCTAAATTGTTCCCAAAAGGATGTCTTGCTTTGTGGTTTTCTGCTTTAAAAACTCTGTAACCCTCCAGTTTGGGGCCACTGGGTCTAACTTTGAAACAGACAGGAGTCTAGGCAGGTGGCTGCTGAACTCAGCTAATAAAATCCCAAAATTTGTCAATTCAGCCATTTGGATTCCTATATTGATCCCCCAACTGTAGGGCCATGGGCTTCACCTTGCAGCGGCTCTGTGGTGTAGTTGAAAAACTCCAGGGACAATCGCATTCCCTGCACAGGAACAGGGTCTCCAAGGATGGTGCGTTAGCCCCACATTCCCACACCAACTCAGGTGCCAGAAATAATTAAAGCACATGTTGGAGTGAGCATAGGGACAATACCCTCCTTCTGACCCCCTCAGCTGCCTCACTAGAACAGTACCTTTTTGACTAAAGGCACAGCAGGAGAAAAGCTCCAATGTAGCACAGGAGTCTCCAGGTCCAGCCCCCAACGCTAGCAAAAATCCATTCCCCCCAATAGTAGCGTCTGAATTCTCAGTACTATGCCAACACTATTTCTTCTCAAGCTATCACGAAACTCATTTCGTCTTACTAGTTTTAATTTTTTTTTTTTTTTTTAGTGACGGGGATCGAACCCAGGACTGCATGCTTGCAAGATAGGCGCTGAGCTAAATCTCCAGCCCCCAAGTATCAAATTTTTAACCACTGTTGATTAGTTGAATTAATAATTTCAGTACCTGGGGGCTGGGGATTTAGCTCAGCGGCATAAGCGTTTGCTTGCAAGCAGGCACTCGTGAGTTCGATCCCCAGTACCGACAAAAAAGGAAAAAAAAGACACCCCACCCCCGCAAATTTCAGTACCCATCCAAATCCTCCACAGTGCAGTGTCACTAACTGCCTGGTTAAATCAGGTGGGCCGGTTTCACACACTCACCTTCAAATCTTTGGCTCTTTAATTACTGCACACGTTTCTAGTGCCCGCCGCCAAGGAAGCCACTCCCTTCCATTCACTGTTTTTTTTCCTCCGGTCCTAAGGATAGCAAAAACGTTTTTATGGTTAATAAAAAGCATTCAGCTGTATAAAAACTTCCTTAAGGATTCCCTGGATGCCTACTGAGTTGGTCCACTCAAGTATGCTACAAAAGTGTAACTATTAAACTCACTAAAAATACCACTTCCACAGTTACCCAACAGTAACATTTACCTTACCAAAATTTTTTCATTGGATTAGGTGAATCCCGACAGCGTGGGGAGAAAGAAAAGGTAATTAAACCCTTAACAGAAGTCGCCGTCAAAGCTGAATTAACAAACACGATTTCCCACCGACCTAAGCCTTGCAGCAGCAAAGACCATCCCTAGGCCAGCTTGGGGGCCTGCCTGACCGAATGCAAGCCAATCTCATCCACACCCCTGCTCTTCTGTTTTGAGGAAATGGTTAGCGGAGCGCTCCCTGCTACCCTCCGGACGGCCACAGCCTACTCAGCAGCGGCGCCTGCAGAGTCCGAAGCCAAGATGACAGAGCACCAAGTACCCTGCAGGCGGGGCACGGCGCGACTCCGGTCGCCGGACTCCTTGGGGGCGGAGTACGCAGCTGCCCCGGGCAAAGGAACAAAGAGACTTTCTTCACTCGCGCAACCACAAAGAACCAAAAACCCTCGCGGACCTCCGCGCCTCCCCTGACCTGAAGCTGCTCACGGTCGCCCAGGGCCCCGCGACCCCCCGGCTCAGCGAGGCGCCGCCCTGGACCGAGGTGGGAAGGGCCGAGTGGAGCCGGTGACTGTGGAGTCCCGGGGCCCAGGAGCCGCAGCCGCGGGCCGCCCGCGCGGAACAAAGCGCCGGAGTCGCGCAACGCCTGGCTCCGCGGCGCCCGCCCCGCACTCACCAGGGCGCGCACAGCCCGGAGCGCAGGACGCCGCCGCCCGCGCCGGGAAGTCGCCCGAGCCCGCCCCGGGGGCGGAGCCAGCGAGCCGGGCCGCCCCGCCCCGCGCCGCGCGGTCCTAGCGCCCGCATAGCTGCACGACGGGGCGGCTCCGCCCGGCCCGGCCCGGCCCGGTCCGGCCCAGTCCAGTTTGGCCGGGCCCCCCGGCGCTCTTGCCCCCGCCCCCCGCCCCTCCCGCGGGCCGCGATCCTCTGTAGAGAGAGGTTGCTGCTGGCCTCGATCCCGGGGGCCTCAGCATTTTCTGTAAAGTGTGCGAAAGCATGTTCGGAGATAAGGGGGCGCCGCGTGGATGCGTGAGCACCCCGCGGCAGCGTGAGAGACGGAGCGGCTCCCGCTGCAGAGCGGCGCCGTCTTACGGCGCTCCGTCCGTCCACACAGCAGTCCCTCACCTGGTAAAGTTCTGGGCCGTCGCTCCCGCAAACCTGAGACCAGACGGCGTCCCAGTCTCATCAGGACCGAGTCGAGCCCCCTGGAGGCGGGAGCTGCGGCCCGGCATGGTCGGGGTGGGGGCGGCGGGGCCTGACTTGCTGTAAGCAGCGTAGGGTCCTTTTTTCGTCCGGCGCGGTGCGCGTGCCCACCATCTCATCCTGCGCCCGGTCGGGGCCATCCGTCGCTGGGTGTCACCAGTCAACTTCTTCGGGGGGTGGGGGTGTTGCTGTCCTAAGATTCCCCACTCTTCAGCAGCTGTTGGCGCTATTGACCCCAAATCTTCTTCACCACAGGTTCCCACCCTACATTCCCGCGGTGTGAGACTCACTATTCAGTGTCTGCCCAATTGAAGCAGCCATTCATCCCCAGGAGTCGCTGAAAGGAATTAGACCTAGGAATTTTATAGGAAGAGGTAAACAGGGGAAGCTAAGGAATCAGAAAGGCAAGGGCGGTTGATCCTTGCCATGCACCAGGGCAGGATTCCTTTGCCTTTGCCCTTAGATCCTGGCTTAGCAGTTCACTCCAACTCGAGTTGTTTTTTTAGCAGGGGCTCACTGTGTAGTTCAGGCTGATAAAACTTTGCAAGGTAGTCTATCTTTGTTTAGTTCTGTCATCAGTAAATCAGGGCTAACAATAATAGCTCGGGCTTTTTGAGATGGAACAGATGCCTACACATCGCATGGAGCGGCTCCTGTGTCCTGTGTTTGGCCCAGGAGAAAGAGTTTTCTAGTGCCACCGGGTAGAAACAGACCCTAGAGAGAGCGTGTTGCTACAAGGAAGCCTGATGCTCATGCTTGCTCCTCTGCGGGCCGGCAAGACTTACTGCACAGCAAGCCTGGGTGACTGAGACCCTGCAGCTCTTCTGGGGGATGGAGGGGTCGAGCCTGATAGCCCTCGGATCTGTGTCTGAACTTGTACTGACTAGTGTCTGTCTCCATTATGTACACAAAGATCTGATTCCCCAAAAGCACTTGGTCTCTGCGCCAAACCTGAAAGACCAGTGACCTTTTCAAGGCAGTGGCCCTGAAAGTTCACCAACAAAGGAACTCACAAAGAGGAGCTCCGTCTTGAAAGAGCCTGTTTATGCTGGGCGGGGCCTGCCCATGTCTTCACCTAAAGACAGCTAATTCAGCTTCCCAGCCCAGGAACCTTGTTATCCAGGCTTCAGTTTGAGGCAAGATCTCTCCCAAAAGATTAGATAGGAGTATATAAGATTTTTGGTTTTTGCCCCTGGTACTGGAGATTGACGCCAGGGTCTTAGCACTGAGTTGTATCTCCAGCCACTTAAAACTTACTGCTTTCCTTTTGCTGCAGCAGCCACAACCATGAATCTGCTGGGGTGTCAGAGGTCCCCACTGTGGCAGCGTTCCCACTGTGCAAAAGAAAGCCTGCTTGGATCGCTGGAGACCGGGGAGATCACCAAGGCCACTTCGCCTTGCAGATCCAGAGACTGATTAAAGATGGGCTGATCCGTCTGCAATCTGGGAGCATCCACACCCAGGTGTGAGGCTGGGAAAACATCGTGGCAGCTTGGTTAGGCAGACCTTAGCTGGCAGTTGAACAGGACTGGGTCCTAGAGGGCATCGGCGTACAAGATGCTGTGGGAAGCACCAAGTGCAGCCGAGGAGGAGGAAGTCCTAAGGGTGGGATCTGTACACTTCCCTAAAGGTTTGGGATTTCTGGTGTCACACTTTGTCCCACATAAATAAATTATTATCCCATCAGGGTGGGCCATCCTCTTCCACCTACTAAGAGGGCTAAGATGAAGACTAAAGACAAGACTCACAAGGAAAGGAAGTGGAAAAAATACTTTTAAAAGATACATATATACACAAGATAGCTAAGATAATTGTACTACTATGAGTTCAAAGAAAAGAGCAGTGCTCATATTGATATAGGGAAATGAAATTCCCAACCTACTATATGTCTGGTATGAGTTTGTGTTCTCTAAAATCAAAGGATGAATTTTAGAAACAACGGAGGTTAAGACCAGAAATACTTATTGAGAGAAAGTAAGCTCTGTCTGAGAGAAACAAAAGGGGTCCTGAGTGGGTTGCCAAAGACTCCATCTTTTCTAGGGACTTTTATAGACTAAAACCAAGAGGTTAGATGGTCCAAAATGGAAAAACTGGGAATTCACAAGGCAATGGCATGAAGTGGGACAAACTATGGTTAATAGGATTAATGTTCAGGTAAAATTGACCAAATCAGGGACAAATGGGGAAGGGAGTCATATAATAAGCAGGCATTGTTATGCAGCAGTGATGACTGTTCCTGTAGAGGGCTGGGATGGTAACTACTGGCTTCCTCAAGGTGACCCATACCTATTTAGAATATCAATCCCTGATGTAAAGTGATCCATACCTATTTAGAATATCAATCCCTGATGTAAAGTGATCCATACCTATTTAGAATATCAATCCCTGATGTAAAGTGATCCATACCTATTTAGAATATCAACCCTGATATTTATACTTAAGGTGTGGTTGCATTTGTTTTGCCTTTGGGATCTGGGTCACTGCTGGAGTCATCCATCTCCTTCAAGGTTACAAGACATCTTGTCCTCTGTGCTGGCTCCCTCAAGGGCCCAGCCCTGTCATGATTGCCTATAATATTCTATCTAGGACAGCTGCCTGTAACATTATCGTTTGATCACTTGTGCATGCCTATATCTAGTAATCTGAGCAACACTTTTGAAGATAACAATATGCAATATAACAACCATTGTTAAATTCCCATCATCTTTTGAAATCCTGTATCACTATTGTTTTGGGTTTTTGTTGTTATACTTTTTTTAGTTTGTTGTTGTTTCTATGGTTTTTTCCTCTTTAAAATTAATTTAAAAAAGACAAAGACTCAGTCTATAGATTATCGACCAAGGTTAACAGTGTCATCCATTTGCCCTTGCTAATATTAGATTGATATTAGCTAGTGGCTTTGGTGGCTTTCCTCCTGAGATCCCACCCTGCTTTCTCTCTCTTTTTTTTGGTACCAGGGATGGAACGCACGACCTTGTCCTTGTCAGGCAGGTGCTTACACTGCTGAGCTAAATCCCCGGCCCATTATGGTGTTCTTTTCCTCTTTTACTGGCCCAAATGCTCAGTTTCTCTCCACTCTTCACTTTTACTTTTTCAAGTAAGTGTTGCCACTACTTAAAAATATATTAGCTAAGTGGCTAACATATATAAGTGGCTTATCATCTCACTAGTTGATTATAACTTGACCCATATTGTTGTACCAGGCACAAGGGACCCTTTGTCTCTCAGGAGTTACTCTTTTTTGTCTTTTTGAGGCAGGATCTCACTATACAGTTCAGGCTGGCCTGTAGCTCACTTTGTAGCCCAGGCTGGTTTTGGATTTGCAACAATCTACCTGCCTCAGCCTCCCAAATACTAGTATTACAGGAGTGTACTACTATACCTGGCTTGCAGGAGCTATTCTTATTCCCTAATAAATATTTCTTCCTTTTTGAGACAGGGTCTCATTATTGTAATTCAGGCTGGCCTTGAACTCACTATGTAGCCCAGTCTGGCCTTGAATTTGCAATGATCCTCCTGCCTCAGCCTCCTAAGTGCTGAGATTAAAGATATGCACCACCATACCCAGCTGTTTGCTACTCTTAACCTCCATTGTTCCTTGGAATTCATTCTTCGATTTCAGGGGACTTGAATTCAGTGTGTCTGACATCTAGCAGGCTGGGCGATCTGAGCTGGTGACCAGGCAGATGTAGATTGGTGCATCTGAGAACACTGCCCTGAGTGCACACAGTCAGCTCCCAAAGGTGAAGGAGAGTGTACAGAAACAAGCAGGACCTTGTGTAGCACGGCCACAAGCTAACAGCAGACAGGGTCCTCAGCAGCTCCAGGCTGAGCTGGGTACAGGTAAAGACCAAGGTAGCACACAGGCACTAGTGAGGAGATGTGTACTTGTGTCTGTACATGGTGGCCTCCATAGTTACATAGATCAATCATTGAAATAGGGGTTGGGGGTTTAGCTCAGTGGCATAGGCGCCTGCCTTAAAAGCAGGCAGTCGCGAGTTCAATCCCCGGTACCCTTAAAAAGGAAACGGAAAAAGACCAAAAAAAAAAAAAAATCATTGAAATAGAACAAGCTTTTTGTGCACTGCAAAACAAAACAATATATTTTCAAAGACATTTTGAAGTTCTTGAAAGAGTTAACTTTACAGCTGCCACCCCCGAGCTATCTGTACAACGCAAGAAGGGACTTTCTGTTGGTCATAAACCGTAGGATGTTCTGTTTCAGTGAGTTAAGCAAGATAAACAACTGTTCCAGGAACACAGTGACTGGGCTAGGACCCCCGGACACTAAAGTTACCCAACCCTGGGCCCCTCCAATCAGCTTCTGCCAAGCCCTGCGCCGTTCAAAACTAACCAATGCAATCTGCTTCTGTAACCTCGCCTGCTTTGTGGTTTGTGCCTTTAAAAACCCTCTGAAACTTCCCTTCGGGGTCCTCCGCACTCGTTTGCTGGATGGACCCCATGTGCATG